ATCGTAGACATAACAGTAAAGATACCATAGGTCCGGGTTCAAATCACACTTAAGTTCTTACCATTGTATTTACTTTTTTTTTAATTAAAAACAAAAAACGTTTAACTATTAACCTTAAAAGTAAAAATAAAAAAATTATTTTATTACTCATCCGCCATGTTGTTTCAGTTTTTTTTTTCTTTGTGTTAAGCCAAAAGTTGTGTAGCTAAGCAAAAAGTTGAGTGATGAAGGGATGGGGAAGAGATAGGCCCAAAAAGTGCGTGCAGTACTGCAAAAGCAAAAGCAGAATGAGAGCCAAAAGAGAAGCGGGTGACCAGGGGTGGATTTGGGGGGTGGGAATTAAGATTAGGGGGGCGCCCAACCAAAAGAATGCAGTGAATCTTTCCCCAACGAAAGGGTTTTGGCATAGTGACATAACATATTGAAGTCGTTATTTTCCAGAATCCTTTTTTTTTTTGCTTAATTAAATTAATTCCCTTTCATAATGTTTAGGAAAGAAATGTTTTGTACTTGCGGTCTTATTTTGTTAGTTTGAAAGGTTTTGCACTTTAGTTTTAAAGACTCTAAAAAACAAGCCTACATTTTTTGTATGAAAAAGGACCAAAAACTTAATGTTGGCAATTAATTTAATGGATTTCAATCAATTTCGTTATTAATTGCCCTGCAGTTGAAATTCCGTCCCTGCGACATGCGTCTGCTGCCGGCGTCGCTGCAGGCGCCGCAGTCGGCGTCGGCAGAGCGGCCATTGAATGCTGAATGCCAAAAATACGCAATACACGCACTCTCTCACACACCCACACACAAATGCTTGTATGCACATAGGCGTTGCATTGGTGTGCGGAAGAGGCAAAAAGCTTTTGCTAGTTGGATTTTTTTGGGCAGCAGCATAAAAGCAGCGACGTTGGCAGCGCAGTCGCCACTCCACGTGTTTCTTGAATTGCGTAAATTTTCGGCTGCCCCCCTCACCACCCCGACCCAACCCCTTTGCGTCCAGCAAGCTTTCATTGTCATTGTGTGTGCATAAAATGGCAGCAGCCGCTCTCTCAAGAGAGTGAGTGCGACATGCGCTCTCCATTCTTTGATATTTTGTGGGGGGTGGTGGGGAGAGGAATGGGGAGCCGCCGCAAAAAAGCTTCGCTCTTGCTCTTTCTCTCTCCCATTTTCTCTCACTGCAAAACCAAGGCGCATTGTTATTGTTTTTGGCATTGCTGCACTGAAAGGAAATGTATGCTCTTTAACGAACAATTATATGATTTTTATTGTTTCTTCACCTCTGCTCTTTAATTTTTCTCCTTAATTATAACAATTATTCTTCGAGATTTATTTAAAAATAAAAATATTTATCTGATGTCTTAAAACTCGTTTTGCTTTTGTTTCTTTGTGTTTTTACTATTTTTGCCCTTACTTCTAAAGTTTTTGTTTCTGCGTTTGCCGGCAGTTAAGAATCAACTTTTAATTAATCGAAATAAATGAATAACTTTTCAAGTTTTTTGATTGAAATTAAAATGTAATTGTTTCGATTCTACAGGAATTTGATATTTTTCTGTAAAGGAAATGCATTCAAAAAAGGGATAGTGACACTTGTGGGAATAAGGGAAGTTTTTGGGTGAAAAATGTCAAGCATTTTGAGGGTTTTTGTTCGAATTTCAATGGTTTGATCGGGAAGATCTCAAGGGTTATGCAAATTTATCCAGTATTTTGGTGAGAACTTCTTATCTTACAAATTTACAAATGCATTGTTTGAATTCTTTTTAACTGATGGCGATTTATTGTCGAAGAACCCTTCAAAAAAGATAGTAAAAAAAAAGAAATTAAATCCTTCGGTGCATCGTTAAACAAACCCAAAAAAAATGCAATTAAAATTGTTTTAGCATTTATGAAACCCTTTTCCTTTATGCCCATCTTAAAGTGGTTTGCCTATTATTGCATCTAGTATTTAGAGACCACCTGGATGGAAATATCCCGCTGCGTGAATAGGTTAAGACCAAGTTTAGGTTTGCTTTTGCTATTTCTGGGCGAGATTTCCCTAAACATTTTCCACTTGAGCGGAGTTCTCCTAAATTACCTCATGTCCTTTGCTTTATCCTTATGCAATTGCGCCTGCAAAAGAGAGAGGGAGAGCGCGCGCGAGAGAGAGAGGGAGAGAGGACGAAAACTCACCCCCGGATTATAAGGATATATGTAATTTTTATCCTGGGGCGGCAGTGCATACACACAGAAAAAGGCATGCAAAAAAGCGATTGCAACCGGGGTTATCTCTTAAGCCGCGAGTAAATATTGTACAAAAAAAAATTGGTAAAAATATATATTTGGTTTTAGTGCATTATCCTTTCATCCATATTCATTAATCCTAATTGGAACCCTCCAATTTGTCAATTGCAAGTTACTCGCCTGCATTCCAATTGGATTAATAGCCCAACGAGAAGAACCGCAAGTGGTTGTCTCTCTCTCTCGGAGAGCAAAAGAGCTCCGTTCTCCCACACAAGTGAGAATAACTTTTGCATTTGCAAAAACAAAACCACACGCACATACACAGTTGCATGCCTCTCACCCACACCAACGCACTCTTATGCGGCGGGGGCGAGGGATCCAATTGGAACCAATGCAAAATGGGCGCACTCTCTGCGGCAGCGAACAAAAAAACAACAACAAAAGTCTCTGCTCGCATTTCTTCCTTCGCAAAAGCAAAAGCAAAGCACGCAGCCGAAACTTGTTTGGATTTTTCGACTGCGACTGCGACTGCGGCACAGCTCCACTCAATGCACAGTGGGGCAAATAATAAATATAGGTTTGAAAAAAAATGAATGAGTATACTTATTTATTATATAATTTAATTGAAAGGAAATAAGTTTTATTGTTTATGAAAAAGTCTTTTGTTCAAATCCAATTAGGCTGAGTTGTGGCACAAAGATTTTTGAAAAAAATTTAATTTTTGGTTGCAAGTCTTATATGTTTAAAGGGCATTTTAGTAAAGACTAAAATGGTTGCAAATGGTTGATAGATTAATTGCAATCAGCCTGTGTTGTGGCCAATTCAAGCAACAAAATAACACATTTTAACAAGTTTAAAATGTTATTTTGCTATTTTAATTGAAATAACAGTTTAAGGTGGTTGTCTACCACTTTGCAGAGAGTGCTGTGTGTTTGCTTTGCTGCGTTTTTGTGCTCGCTCTCTTTCCCAGCCGCCGACTGTTGCTTTTGCCCTGCCATTGCCGTTGCCTTTGCTTTTGCTTTTGCTTTTGGTATTGGTGGTGGCTGCCGCTGCTGCCGCTGCCGCAGTCGACGTCGCTGCCCGCCGGCTGATAGGCCATAAACGAAATTTTGGAACACAACGCTCGTCTATTCGGCTCTAGGTTTCGGTGGTGCTCGCAGCTCGAAGCAGCAGCAGCAGCGTTTTGTGTGCATTTCGCATTCGCATATTCGCCTCTCGTCTCTCGTGCAGCAGAAATTACAGCCACAGGAAACTAAAAACTAAAACTCTCAAATTTCGAAATTCAGAAACCGACAAAATTCAAACGAAACCGCTTAAAAGATATATATTTTCTCACTCGGAAAACTGCAGCGGTCAAAGTGCAAAAAAAAAGCAGAAAAGTGCGAAAAACTTTTTTAATTATTATTTACGTTTTGTTTGTGTTTCAACGAGCAAATACACAAAATAACTGTCCAGTGTCAAATGTTAAGTGAATGTGCGTCGTGAGTGTTGCAAAACGGTTTTTCGACCAGTGATTGGAAGGTAATTTTGAGTAAAACTAAATAATCACATTAGAAAAAAGTGCAAAGTAAAGTACTTGTTAAAAACCGAAGTACAATTGCAATTTTACAATTGTGAGTGCGTACTTGATTTTCTAACAAACTCATCACAATTTTTGGGGTGTGCGTAAGCAACTCGAATTTCAAGCGGCATAAAAACGCAGCACAAAATGCGATTGAGTAGGCAAAAAATAAAAAGCGAAAAAGCAAACACAAACTGGGAAAAAGTGAAGTAAAAACTTTTATGCATAACGAAAACGTCTGCATTTTTAATCAAGCAACAACAATAGAAAAATAAGCAAAAGCAATAGCAACGACAACAACAACAACAACAACAAGGGGAACATGGAACAATAAACAACCCTCCCCGTTTTCCGCCTCCCCCTGGAATCAAACAAGGCGAAATCCCAGTGAACTGAACCCCTTTTTTGCACTGTGTTTTGGTGTTTGAGCGAGTGTGTGTGTGTGTGCCAGTGTGTAAAGGAGAAAGAACAATTAAGGGAGAATGAAGGAAAGTGCAAGAAGTGCAAGGAAGAACGAGAAATGCAATTAATCGCCAGGACACTTGCTCAATAGCAAGATGCCAGTGTTGAATTACTGTGAATAAATTTTTAAAGATGTGAAAACCTTTTGAAGAAATACATTTGACTATAAAAAGCTTATAAACATGTTAAAGATTGTTTGACTTAAACAAAATGAATAAAATCCCCAATTAAAATCCCAAAGATTTTTAAACACGAGACCGGAAAAGCCGAAAGATTAAACATAAAAACTTAAAATCTGAAATCAGGCGTTGTATTTCTCAGTTTGTATGTGCACACATGTTCCCCCTGTCCCAGAATATTCAATTCCCAACGCCAAAATAAAGTGTTTTTGGGTAGCCTGTGGAATAAAAGACATTTGCCAGAAGGCAAGTGGGAATTAAAATCCGAAAACGACAATATAAAATATATATGCTGCGATAAGTTTGCTGATAAGAAAATTGTGTCAGAAACAAGATGTTCTGGGAACACTTTGCACATAATGATTACTTAAAAACTTAATTAATTGATTTCATGGAAAGTGTGACAAATGGGATTTTTATAATTTAAAAATATATATTTTGCAAGTTAAAGAACCAACTATAGACTACTATATATTTTTAAAAAGAGAGCATTTATTATAAAAATATATATATATTTGCTTGTTACTCTTTCAAATTCCACATACATTTTCTAATAACGATTTTCACCCGTTTATTTATATTTACAGCTTAATGTCACTGTGAAAATGCCTCAACGAGCCAATCACAACACCAATTTGAGCAACATCAAGAAAAACATTAAACGACAACAAAACCGGCAAATGCTACAAAATGCCAATCAAGCAACACATTTTGAACATTTAACCCTCTAAATAATACACAATTAAATTGAAAATAATTTCGTGAAATTATAATAATTCAATTAAAAATTGAACTAAACAAAAACATTTTCGAAAATCAACGCAAAATTTTAAAATTGGCAACATAACTTTTGGTCTTTAATCAAATTCAACAAAATAGTAAATCAACAAAAACGATTTTTGGCAAAGCTGCGTGCAACATAAAACATCAAATAAAATAACAAATTTAAATTATCTCAAACGTCCACACGTGAACATGTTTTGCAATTAAGATGCAAAACTAAATAAAATCAATGTAAATTTTTTAAATCAACAAAAGAATATATAAAACAAAACCGTCAGCAAAGAAAACCAGCCCAAAATCAGTTTAAACACCGGAGGGAAATCTTTTTAGAACAAACGCAAAAAACCGCAAAAATTTAAGCCACCAAATTGGTAAACTCTTCAAAATTATTGGTTCGGACATACGCAATACTAAACACAGCAACACAACAACAACAGCAGCAGCCATAGCAACTGAACAACAACAACAACAGCAACTACTACAGTGATCACTACAGTAAAAGCAACCTACAGTAAAAAAGCAGCAAAGAAAACGTGTGTGTTAGTTTGCATAAAAATTTCGTTTCGATAAAAAGCAAAGCAAAAATATTAAGCAAAACAAAAAATTATTACCAATCGTAATACATGTATTTATAAAATATATATATATACCTATACATATATCTATGCTTACAAATTATATCGAAGAATATTTGGTAAACAATTTTTGATAAACAAATCGAGTATATATACTTAAATAATTAGCAACAAAACTGAAAAATAATAAGAACAAAAAACGTTTGGCAAAGGAAGTGCAAGAAGTGCAGTTTAATAAACTAAACAAAAAAACTTATAAATTCAAAATTAACATTTGTGAAAAGTTTTACAATTGAGGATTCTGGATTTGGATTAATACGAAAATTTGCAATTGGATATTAAGGTGAGTTTTATAAAGTTGAATTTAAACAATAACTTAATAATAATATTTGTTATAAACTCCAGCAAATCTTGATTAACAAGTTCACTTTTTATAAGTAATCAATCCAATTTTGCTATGTATATAAAGATATTTTTTTTTACAACTTTCTGCATTTCTTAATGGCTCTTAAAGTTTCCCCACGCACGAAAAAGTGCGTAAAAATGAAAAATGTTGTTTTAGAAAGTGTCCACAAACATTTGCAAACAATTACAGGTAACAGCTCAACAAAAAAAAAAAAAAAAAAAAACCGCCTCTAATTACAATTATAATTTATGCAAAAAAAAAAGAAGAAAAACATTTTTTGGTCAAGAGAAAAAATTGTCTACGCACTTTGCGTATGATTTATGACACTCAAAACTTGGAGTTGCATATTAATAACGAAAAAAAGCAAAAGTTGCTTGCTTGACATTTCTACATGTGTAGATACACACACAAACACACACACACAAACTTTAAAGGGGTGTAGATACTTTTTAGGGTTGTGCATAAATTAAAAATATATTATTTCTGCTTCTTGACGCTGCACAAAAAAAAGGAAGCCGAAAAAAGTGCGTCGCAGTTGGCACGCAATATTTTCTGACTGCGCTGCCGGCGCCGCTGCCACTTTGACCTACTTTAGCAAACGCAGCGTGTTCCAAATTTTGTGCGTTGTGTACTTTTTTGTACCGCTCGCCCTCTCTCGCTCTGGCCATCGCCCCATCTCGCTCGCCCTCGTTGGGGTTGGCCCGCCATTGCGTGCGCTTGAAATTGTAGTTTCTGTTTTTGTTGCTGGGGGTCTTCCGCATTTAATTAAATGCACAACAATTTTTTTCTCTACTTTTTTTGGTTTAAGTTTTTACACGGAAAATAATTGAGCAAAGATTGTAAGCTTTAAATTAGTGGGGGATTTCTAATAATTTTGATTTGTGATTGAATTATATTTTAGATAATTTGAAAACAAAATCTAAAATATAATTTATTTATTTGAATATAATAGAAAAAAAGTTCAAAACAGTACAAAACAAAAGATACAAAAATATAAAACACAAGTTGTATCTACAAGGTATTTTTCCTAATATCTTATTGACGGCAAAAGTATCTTTGAGATGTTTTACATGATATCTAAAAGATAAATGAGAGTTAAGTTATAAATATTTAAATTATAAAATATACTTTTATTGAACACTTTTGATCGTGAAAAGTATCTGCGAAATAGTTTTTTTCAATTATATAATGTGTTAGAAAATATTTGAATTATTATCTGCAAGATGAATTTTTTTTAATTATATAAGGAGTTATTAAATATTCTTATTATACGTTTGAAGGAAAATACTGTCTAAATAATATATTGTATAATTCAATTTAAAACATTACTAATATACAAAATTAATAAAAATCATTTCTATCTGTGTAGCCTTTGTCATAGCTTTTTGTTTTAGTTTTTCGTCTGCTGCATTTTCCCTTGTCGGAAGTGCTGTGGAGTTGTTTTTGTCTGCCGCCCTTTTCCATTTTCCTCTGCCTTCTCACGTGCATTTGCACAATCGTTAGTGTTTTTTCTAAGAATAAATTGTCTTTGGAGCAGACTGCGCGGCTTCTCCCTCTTCGTCGTCTTCAGTTTTTTTTTCTGTCTATGTTGTAACTGACGCAATGCAACCGACTTCATTATTTTCTTTTTTATTTGCTGTTTTTGTTGTCGGCACTTGCGCAAAGTGTCTATGATATGCTCTTAGCCCACAGTCAGTCAGCCCCCCGCAAGAACCCCCATTCATTTTCCCTACAAAAGCCGAACGCATTTCGGTTCTCTTCTTCAAATTGTTTAAATTTTATGACTTGCCACTGCAGTTGCTTGAATTTTAATGCGACCGATTACCAAGAAAGCGAAACAGAGCAACAGCGTTGCAAGAAATTGTCAGTTGCCTGATTGTAATTACAGTGGTTATAGCCGAGTTTTTTAGGGATGACGAAAAATAGACGATTGAGATGTTCCAAATGCATTTATTCTAGGTCTATAAAAACAAAAATACATGCGTGAGAACGTTTAAATAGTTAATATATACATTTTGAAGTTAAAGATATTTTTGGAAAGTTTACAGATTTTCGACCTTATAAGCATACTTTTTGAATTCTGAAAACCATGCAAAAGTCAAAAACATACCTTCATTTATCTATGGAAATCCCTTAAATATCATAAAGCTTAATTTAACTATCTTTTTTCATAATTTTATAGACCATTAAAGCCAAGACACGCACTTACCTTGGCCTAGGGCTGCCAAAGACTTAAAAAATAAGGAAAAAAACAAAATGAAACTTACACGAGACTTGATAATAAAAATTCATATGAAATAATCGCTTTTATGAACTGCTAATTAGGCTTATCAAAAAAAATGTGAGTGAGCAAAGTTTTTTTCGGCTGCAAAATATGGTAGAAGGTAGGGCTGTAAACTGGCTAAGGCGGCGAAGGGGGCGTGGCGGTCTGCAAACCTGTCAGTGTCAGTCAAAGTGACAAATTTTTTTTTCTTTTCTGCGTTTCCATGCCACTTAAACAAAAGTTAAAGAGAGAGAGAGAAACCATAGGCCTAACTAAAGAGTGAATGAGATAGTGGGAGAGCTTACACATTTTTTGGGAACTTACAGCTGCGGTCAAAAACGTATTCTCTTTTAACCAAAATCACTAATCTTTAAAGACATCGTTTTAAATAATAAAAATTACAATTTTTTTGATTCTATTTTAATTCTAGAAAATTGTTATTTGAAACGGATTTATTCGTATTCTTTTTGAATTAGATATATGTACATATCTAAATAACATGATTTTAAATGTTACAAAACAGACTTGATTTTAATATTTCTCTGAAATGCATGTTATACCTGGCGCATTTGAATACTTATTTTGAACGCTGCTGTATGTGCAATGTTTATTGGGGTTTGGCAAAGTCAATTCGTGTTTTTTGTACCGTTTTTCGCTAGTTTTGTGGGGTTTTTTCTGGCCATTCCCCAGTTGCTAATTGCCAGTTGCCTTTTGCTCCACTTCGCCACTCACGCATACACTCACACACGCAATAAAAAAACGAAACTTTTGCATGCGAGCGATGTATTTGTGTGGGTGGTAAATGTATTCGCATATGTGTGCGTATCCATGTGTGTATATGGCCGAATGAATACTTTGCACAAATAGAAAACGCATTTCATGGGCGGACATCTTTCGCCCTTTGTCTCTACCTCTCTTTCGCACTATTCCCTCCTCTCTCTCTGTGTTCCTCTTTTTTTTGGGGGGCTTTGGTTTATCTGCATTGAACAGTTGGAATGTGTAAAGTTTCATTGCCATTTCTGCAAGTGTGTATGTGTGGTGGGAGTCATTAAAATGGCATATATGACGTGGATGAAACAGAGGAAATTGTGGAATCTCAACCAAAACACACTGCACAATTGTATCACTCATATTTCAATAGTTTTTTGCGGTTTTTTGATCAAAAATGCAATATTTCTAGGGAGGTGAAATATAAGTTAGTTGTTCGATTCAATTTTTTTCTTTGAACCAGTAGAAGTGCAATATTGCTGATGAAATTTTGAATATTTTCAAATGTGTCAAAACATTTTCTTTTTTTAAAACATAAAAACCATGCTAATCAAAATTCCGTATAAATAAAAATATTCTTTAAAAGTCAGACATCTTAAAAGCACAACAAAACCAATAAAAATTAAATAAAATTGCAGGCAGACGAAAGGCAATAAAAATATGTCAATTTAAAGCCTATTACATCACAGTTCGCCAGAACTAAATGCTGATAATTCCAAAATACAGAATAAACGCGCACAAAATACGCACAGAAATACAGACACACATGCAGAAAGGCGCAACAAATAAATAAAATACAGAAAAAATTTATACAAAATTACACACAGGCAAATGTAAGTCTGTGCTATGTACAAAAATAGCAAACAAAGAAATAAGCACATACATAGGCCTATGTACACTTGTCACATTGCCATCTCTCTTCCGCAATTCCAACTATCTCTTTTTCGCTCTCGGCAAAAAAAATTCACAAGTTGCATCCAAAAAAAAAAAAAAAAAACGAAAAACTGTATAGCGTGGCCTACAATTAAATTGGCTCAAAGTGCGTAAGGGGCAGCCTGCACAGCAACAAAAATAAAACGCAGAAAAAAAAGAAATAAAACGGCAGCAGCGATAGAAAAAACCTTGAGCTGGCACAACATAATTAAAAATGTGCGTATACGCGCACACTGATAGGCCCCAAAAAAACTCTGACTACAAATACAACTAAACTTTTGCAGTGCGTAGAGCTTTTCCCGCTTCACAAATGACATTCACGCGCAATAAATATCAGGCTATACTAGCCAACCCAAAAAAAAAAATCATGAAACCAACAACAAAACAAGGAAGTCTAAAAATGGTCTCAGAAGCACTAACAAAAACCTATAGTTTGTAGGCCTAATCTAAATGCAGTGGGAGCAAGAGAGATGGGGAGATCTGGGGAGCTTTACATCAAGCATTTTTTGGAAGCTTTTCTAGGCGCCACGCTCATTGGGGAAAAAGCTTTTCAATGCGAAGATCATCAGTTTGAGATACAGATAGATTGTGAATCTTAAAAATTGTTAGTTCTAATTGAGAAATGTATGCTTTTTTCAATCGAAGCCTGTTAAAATAATTAGTTTCAATATGTGGATTGATTGGGGATCAATCAAAATAAACTATAAACTATACATTTATGTAAAACTTGCAGAAATTGTAATCAATATTTCGTTCCAAATAGATTTTAGCTTAACCTAAAACTAAATGCTTCCTCTTATTCATCTATAGAAAAACTAACAATAGTGATTAAAAAAAAAAATACCCTATAATTTCAATCTTAGTTAAAATGCAATGGTGACACAATTCCCATCTCCCTCTAACGAAAGGAACGGAACCGAAATGATTATTTAATTGGAGAACCTTCAGCCTCTCCAATTTCTTTTTAATAGCAGCTAATTATGTCAAGTATAATACACGCAAACACTCCAGAAAAGAACACTCAAGACACATGCAACCCATACATAATTCCCTTAAATTGCCGCAATCTGTAAAAAATCTGTTACTGTCTCTGTCACACGAGATGTTTTTTTTTTATTATACTTGATTTTTGTTAGCCCTTACTTTGTTTTTGATGCGTTTCCACCTTCGATGATGCCACTTCCTCTTCTGTGTTTTCCTCCTGGCTTTTTCCCCATCCTCTAGCCATCTCTCTTCCTCCAAAGACGCTTGATGAGTGCACTCGGCGGTAGAAAAAAAAAGCGAGAAGTGGAACAAAAAGCACAAAAGAAAAATGGTTAAGGAAATTAAAAAGCATAAAAACAACAACACACAGCGCCAGCTTCCGTTAAAACAAAGCGAACTCAAGTGGAAGAAGGAACAAAGAAAGCAGCAAAAAAAAGGGTTACCAAAAACGAAAGAGAGAACACATATGCAGCATTTACCGTTAGAGCCCTTCGAGGGCGTTCTTTCTTCCGCCCCATTCTTGTGGTTTTTTTCGTTGTCGTTTTTTGTGTATTTTTTGTATGTGCTTCTTTGTTGCTTCTTTGGCCGTTTCTGGTTCGTTTGGTATGCAGAACTTCAGAACTTTGGATGGTATGATGATGCACTTGGCTTGGCTCAATGGGAAACTAATCATCCAAGGAGCAGCTTATTTGTTGTCAAGTGGGAGGTAATTGTAAGATTATAAGGAACAGTTTTTGGAGAGATAAATGATGCTAAAATCAATTCGAAAATTATAGTAATTGTATAATAAGCATGCTTTTTCATAAGCATGCTTTTTTATTAAGGTTTGTCATTTGATATTTAACAATTTTTTTAAAGCCAACATAAAATAACAAGTAAAAATACTACATTTTCTAATTTAAACTTCAGGATGCAACGTTGTAATATTTCGCTGGCTCTATAAAATGCAGTCAAGCAGGAATTCCACCCCCAAAAAACGAAGTCTTACATTGTCTTTTGCCATACGCTTCGCTGAATCATCATATGTTTGGAAGTCACACTTTCGGGTATAGTTTTTTGTTTGGATATAGGTTTTTCCCCGCGCCCAAATCTCGCACAAACAAAGTAACAATGCATTTACGCAAGTCTTGCACTTGGTAGCCCAATGATGATGATGTTGTATACCAAGCTTAATTTATGGATTTTCTCAGACTTCTTTTTCGGTTGGGCTCTTCATTTGGCGTTATGCGTGGGTGATTCTCGCTACCTCGAATCTTGTGCAAGGTGTTTTATTTACATTGCGATGACCGCTGATAAAACACATTTAAAACCGACCGCCTGCAGTGAAGTCTGTGTTTCTTTTTGTTGTTTTTCCTTAGTCTAATTAAAATGCACCAACTCGAGTGCAACATTTTTATGGACGTGATTTACACAGGAACCAGCTACCACGAAAAAGAGTAGATTTTTTTTCATCGTGGAGGTTGAGGCGCAACCATGAAATTGAATTGCTACTTTGAAGTGCACTCGATGTCAGTGGATGGATGGGCCCGAAAAGGGTTAACTGCACACATGGCTGCACGGCTGATAGACAGACCCCGAAAAGCGGTGGGGGGTTAAGGCCGAGGTGTTGGGGCCTTCACAACCTCTGGGCCACCTAGTTACCCACACTAATTACGGCAAAATGCAGCCACGGCAACGTCGCATGTGCAAAGTGGAGAATTCTATATTTTTTCTACCGATTTTTTTGACTCGTTGGATGGACCAAGTTCATTAGAAGTGTACATGAAAAACACTTGCTATCATTTTTTTGATACATCATTGATTGGAAGTAGGAAAATACAAAGTGAATCAAGCAAAAACAAGACTAATTGAAAGAATTTTGTTTATTTTTGTTTTGTAAAAGTACTGTGAAGTTCCATGTTGTTGCCTAAGATATAAATAATAATAACTAATATAAATAAATAATTATATCATATTATTAGTAATATAATTATTTTTTGGTAAAGCGATTCAATTAAAAGAATAAAAAGAAGATATGAAAAAAATATCTTTTGATTATTTAATTTATTTAAGAAACATTAATTAAAGCATTCTTATTGTTGTATATAAATAACTATTATTGTATTAATACTACAATTTTAGGGAACATGTTTAATCTTCAATTAAAGGCTTAGTTTATTTTACATATATCTTTAGTAAGAAATACTGTTTATTAACATGATTTTGTTATTTCTTCATATTTTTTGCACATAATAACCTAAACAAAATGTACTATAATTTAATTTCCTCTCTATTTATTTTGCAGGTAAGCAGTTGTGTCTTTGTTCGAACTAATTGGGACGTACTATGGCTTAACGTAAGTTCCTTCCACGCTATAATTGCATAAAAATTTCTCATTTCTAAGGGGCATTTATTTTTTTTCTCTCTGTCGTATTTGTTTTGCATTTAAGTCCAGCAGCCCCTTGAGGCATTTTCCATTTGCCAGGGCTTTCCCACCGCCACCAACGCCCTTCTTCGCTTTTCTCTGGGATTCCTGACCATAAATTTTGCAATTAACGACAAATGTCACTTTGTCTGGCCGATGGCGACGTAGTCGACGACATCCGACGACCGTTGCAACAACCATTTTGCAGAAAGAAGTGGGAGGTTCGAGGCTCAACTCTTTTTCTTTTTTGCTTATACTTTTTTCTTTTTTGCATATATATATATATATATATGTATATATTTCTGGGTGGCCAGAAACGAAGAGCATTGGTTGAATGCTTTTAGCCCGGACCAACGGAGCATAGAATGGCCTGTGAACCTGACACCCAACATCCCACCACCCAATATCGCACCACCCACCACCCACTTACGGTCTGCTCGTCCTGCAATTGCATTAAAAAGCATAAATTTACTTTAGCCCAGGCTCTCGGAACGTTATAAAATCCATTTATGCACTTCACTTGCTCTCTTTTTTGCATGCCAACCACCGACCTGACCCACACCCACTTTTTGGGTGGTTGCATGCTGGTCAGACTTTTCAGGACCCAGGTCCTAGAGTTCCAGGTCCTCTGCAATCTACAATAATTTCTGATTTCTTTCCTTTTTTTTCTCTCTCTCTGCCGTTCCCATTTTATATTTTTGCTGCCAATTTCTGCAGTCCAGGCTAGCGTAAAAGCGAAAAAGAGAAGGGAAAAAGCTATGCAATTTTTACAAAAATTCCCATCCAAACACGAACCCACTTTTCCTTTTGTTTTGTGTTGTGAGGACGATGATGAAGTTTAATTTAGAAACGACCCTAGTCCGAGCCTCAGTTTGTAGGGATTTTCTTTATTTTTCTGCAGCACCCGCATAGCAGTGGCTTGCAAGCCACCCACCCACCAGTTCCTTGTTTTTGAGCCACTGCAGCCACTCATAACCACCCACTTTTGAGGTCGGAAAACTCCTGGTGCATGTGCTAAAGAGTTGGCCAAGGAAAAGTTTCGCAAATTGTTTATAGAGAATGTTTTAAATGCTGGTTTTTGTTGAGGAATTTCGTTTGCACTCTTTTAAGCTTAAATTAGGGGCTCAAATTCACGAGTTTTAAAATATATATTTATTTCTGGAAGTGACCACATTCTTGATTTAAAATTTATTTATTTTTAGATTGGGAAGTTTTAACTTTAAAAAAATAAAACTTTATTTATATATCATTGAATTCCTTTTAAAAAACAAGCCTGCAAGTTATGCAAGTTAAATTAAGTTTATCATTCAATTATATGAATTTTTGAGGGATTTTTTAACTTAACTAGTTTTTTATAAAAAGCTTAAAGTATTTTTAATTTTTCACATGCATATACTTGTTTATAAATATTTCTTTTGGTATATTGCAATTTTCCCACTGCTTTTCAATTGTCCAGTGGCTGTCTTTTAGTTCGAAATGATTTTTCATTTGCATTCTGCAGTAGGATTATTGTTTTTTCGTGGCTTTCCTATTTTTGTTTTAGCAGTTCCATTGGGCATTTGCCCATTCATTAATCTTGCTTTCTCGTCCTGTTTTTTATCTCCTGGGCTCATCTCCCTATAGTTTCCACCTCTGCCTATGTGCAGTTTTTGTCCATTTCCGCCTTTCTTTTTTGCTCCTGCTCTAATATAATTTCGATCGAGTCCACGTATGTGTTGCCTCAAAACTTCATTTCCTTTAGTTTTTCGGGGCGTGGCTGAAAATACTGCAGTTCCCCAACGCCCCGTTTTCCATACCACTCGTTAGATAAACAATCAGCAAACTGCAGCAGCAGCATAAAATAATAAAAGGAGCAAAAATTTAATTCCCGTTTTTTGGGTGTTGTATTTCCTCTTTGAAAGTTTTTGTTTGCCGATTTTTCTCAGCTCTAGAGTGTGTTTCTGTGTGTGTGTGTGTGTGTAGGATGTTTTTGTTTGCTTGCGCTTTTCTGCAGAATTTTCGGCAATATTCCATTAATACTGTTCGGACCAACGGGGGAATTTCGGGGGAAAAGGGAGAACTTTGTTTGCTTTGTCAGTTGCGCCAAAGTTTTGTTGATAAATAAATTTTTTAGCGATAAATTGGCAGAATGCAGAAATCAATTTTTACCCTTTGTATGTGCTCTGCTGCATAAATAAATCATCAATGCATTGGGGGAATTTCGTATTTTGCCTTTCGGGTATCGAATTGCAGTTTGGTCTGCTCCGAAAAAATAAATGCTGCCAAGCGTAAATGAAAATCTAAATGGAAAATCCACATGTCAGTCTGCATTTTTATCTTAAAAAAATAGAGTTTTATTTTCGCTGAAGGGGATTTATTCTTCAAATGGAATTTGAAATGGAATTGCATATTAATTTTGATGGGAGATTGGTTGGTATGGTAAAAAGTTTGGTTATTCAAATGTTTATTTATAGTGTGGAACTCTCATAAAATATTTATATATTCCGTGCTCTATTTAAATTATTTTGAATTATATATTTACAGAAGTTGGTTTAAGATCATAAAGATTTTTCTAGATATGAAATGCCTACAAATTATATACATTTTACGACGTCTATTGCAATTGAAATTGACTTAACGGAGTGGTCAACCCTTGTAAATGTAACCAATCAAAGCCCTTTTTAAACTTATAAATTTCTTTTCATATGTACAATGCAATAGATCCGTTTGTCAGAACTCTCAAAAAAACAAAAAAAGCCTTTTAGTCTAAACTATTGATGAATACTCAAACTCTCACAGACCGAAAACTAAAACCTTTTATCAAAGATAAATAAAACGAAAAACCGTTTTGGGGGTGGAGTATTGGGAAAAGCTGCATGCGACAAATGCAGGCAAAAAAGGGCGAAATGAAAATGGGAAAACCCAGCATATGTGAGGTTTGAAAAGGAGGGAAAGGAGCAAAAAGGAAAGCCTCTCGCTGAAAAAGCCAATGTGCAGTGTGTATGCAAAAAAAGGGGGGTGGTGATAGTCTGCCTCCCTTAAAACAACTCTTTCTCCCTCTCTCTCTCTTTCGCACGCTTTCCTGACTCTGTCTCACTCACCCACTCCCAACTGCAGTCGACGAATGTGAAATAAATTAAAATATTTTTATCTACACTCGTGCACGTAGTCGCCTCCTGCAATGGAAATTGCCAAAGTCAGCTGCAAAAGTTTTTCCCAAGCTTTGGAGTTTGGAGTTGCAACCCTCTGCGGCAGTTTTTCATCACCTACTCACCCCCTTCATTCAATTTTCCCTCTTGCTTTGGCAAAAGTTTTGTTTTTGCAGAGTTGCATTTCGGGTTTACTTTATTTGTTGTTTGAGAATTATTGCTGCATCGCGTTGAAAAAGGGTTGCAACTGCAGTTGCTCTTGCTCTCTCCCTCACTCTGGCTATTTGCCTCACTTTCTTCCAGTGATTTTCCTACTCTTTCGTTCGCTCTGTCTCTGCTTTATGGCTTATATGTACATATGTGTTGTCTGCTTTTTGGCGCATTGCACTAACCGACTATAAATGAAATGCCGCATGACGGCGACCCCCAAACTTCGCCCATTTCCTTCTTTTTTTTTTTGGGACACCACCCCCTTTTTGGATTTCCTCTTTTCTCATGCAAAAAAGTGAAAGTTTGTGCTGCTCCTTTTTTGGATTTCCCTGTAAAGAAAAGAGAGAGAGAGAGAGAGAGAGAGATGGAGGGCGAGAGAGAAAAAGCCAGAGAGAGTGGGTGAAAAAGGGGGATTTTTGTGTGCTCTGCACTTTGTTTGGGGGTTGCACACACCCCCCTTTTTTTGGGCCAAGTGTGTGCTGCAGTCGAGGGTTGTTGTGTGTTTCATAATGATGACAACCCTGGCTCCTGATGCTGCCCCACCATCATCACGATGATGATGATGATAAGGATGATAATGACGTTCCTTGCAGAGCATACAACCCTCATGCAATGTTGTTGTTCATTGATTTTCTTTTTTTCATCCTACCCCCTACCCTCCATTTTCTTTTCCATCCAGGAAAAACTTTTTTCCCGGCAACAAAATGCATTTTTTGTGCGCCGCCTGCAGACAATGCGACAGACAGAAAATGGGGAAAACAAGGGGGTGGAATGGAAAATGTGTTTGGTGGGTGGGTGGTTGGATGGTTTCTGCTGTATTTTTGCCTGCATAGAGAGAATTCATTTGGCTTGTCTGCGTCTGGTCGAGAAAGTCTGGGAAGGAAATCACAGACGATAAGGAAATGAGTGAAAATTCATTTCGGCCTGCAACCCCCTTCCCCTCGCCCACCGTTTTGCTGTGTAGTATTTTATAGTATTTCCTCTATTTTCACCATTTTACTACGGCCAAAGTTTCTTGGCTTGACACATTCACATCCCGGGCTGTGGCTATAATTTGCCTGCATTTTGCACAAGCCAACCCTCCACATTTTCTCCATTTGAGCAATTTATTGCTGGAACGTCATCCTTGTCAATGGTTTGCTTTTTTTTATTTGTCTTTACTTTGCTGTGTTTTATTTTTTTTGTTTTGTTTTCTGCGGCTTGCACAACTTGAACTCAAATGAATTTTCTTATCCCTCCACTGGTTTCCTTTTTTGTTCCGAACAATTTTTCATTTGAATTTCTATGCTGTCCTGCGGCAGTTTTCTCTAGTTAATTTGTGTGATTTGCTGCATTGGCCAAGGGAAAGAGAAAAAAGGGGTCTGGGATACTAAAGAAAAGCGATAAATCATCAACAGAATGGAAAATACGGTATACTGCATGAATTAATTGGAAATTGCTTAAGTCTGGGAAGGTTTCTAATCGGAAGTCTATTCAGTTAAATAAATAAATAAACTGCTGTTTAAGATACCTTTAAATCTTCTGTAATATAGATAAAAATGTATAGTAGTAACAGATATAAGGAAACATATTTTACAAAAAAAGTTATTCACA